CACCTCCGCTGTTCCTCGCCGAGGGCGCCCGCCAACGAGTGCTGCCCCGCCCCCGCCTGCGCCTCCGGCCAAGCGGGCGCGGCGTTCACCTCGAAAGCAGGCAGCCCCTCCTGCCCAGGGCGCCGTTAAGTCCGGTAAACGGACCGCGAAGCGTCCCTGAGACAGGCCATCCGGAGAAGAGGAAACTTGCTCTTTCCCCGCTGGAGGGCGGGGCCCCGATAACAACGGTACTTTTCAGTGCCACCAAAACATCAGTAAAAGAGCACTTTTTCCCTTCCCCGGATGTGACTGCACGAGTTCTGCCAGTCCGGGACGCGCTGCCTTCCGGCTCGCAGACTCTACGTGCTTCGCCAGTGGCTCACGAGCGCTGGGGGGACGGTCTCCCTTCCCTCAGCCCTCCAGCCCCCTCTCCGGAGTCAGGGTGCGGAGCCAGAGCGAATCGCTCTCCTCCAGCTTTTCCGCGGGACCCTCGTGCTTCCCGGATCAGCACACCCACTCCGCGCTGCCCCACCGCTGGTACGTCAGCGATTGTAGCGATGACTCCATTAGCGAGGGCTCTGCCTGCCTGGTTAGCGCGGGCCAGCCCCTCGCGGTGGCTCATACGCACAATCAGACTCGGTTACGCGATTCAGTTCGCGAAACGGCCCCCCAAGTTTACGGGCGTGTATTTCTCCAGGGTCAACCCCCTGTCCGCCCCTGTCTTGCGAGAGGAGATTGCTGCCCTCCTGGCGAAGGGTGCAATCGAGCCGGTTCCTCCAGCCGAGATGGAGAGTGGGTTTTACAGCCCATACTTCATCGTACCCAAAAAGAGCGGTGGGTCACGGCCAATCCTAGATCTGCGCGTTTTGAACCGCTGTCTGCACAAGCTGCCGTTCAGAATGCTCACGCAGAGGCGCATTCTCCAATGCGTTCGTCCTCGGGATTGGTTTGCAGCCATAGACCTGAAGGACGCGTATTTCCATGTCTCCATTCTTCCACGCCACCGCCAATTTCTGCGGTTTGCGTTCGAGGGTCGAGCGTGGCAGTACAAGGTCCTCCCCTTCGGGCTCTCTCTGTCTCCGCGGGTCTTCACCAAACTCGCGGAGGGTGCCCTAGCGCCCCTTCGGCTCGCGGGCATTCGCATACTCAATTATCTCGACGACTGGCTGATTTTAGCCCACTCGCGGGAGCAATTGATTATGCACAGGGACGAGGTGCTTCGGCATCTCCGCCTACTGGGGCTTCAGGTCAACCGCGAAAAGAGCAAACTCGCCCCCGTGCAGAGGATTTCTTTTCTCGGGATGGAGCTGGACTCGATCACCATGGTAGCGCACCTCTCCGAGGAACGCGCTCGCCTGTTGCTGAACTGTCTGAGGGAGCTCGACAGCAAACTAGTGGTCCCACTGAAGTTCTTTCAGAGGCTCCTGGGGCATATGGCATCCGCAGCCGCCGTCACGCCGCTCGGGTTGCTCCATATGAGACCACTTCAGCACTGGCTTCACGATCGGGTCCCCAGACGCGCATGGCACGCGGGCACACACCGGGTCTCGGTTACTGCGCTGTGTCGCCGCGCCCTCAGCCCTTGGAACGACCCCTCGTTCCTACAGGCCGGTGTGCCTCTAGGACAGGCGTCCAGCCATGTTGTTGTTTCAACAGACGCTTCCAACACGGGTTGGGGGGCCGTGTGTCGCGGGCATGCGGCTGCGGGCCTCTGGAAGGGTGCCCAGCTGCATTGGCATATCAATCGCCTAGAGCTGTTGGCAGTGTTCCTCGCTCTCCACCGCTTTTTACCGGTGCTGGAGCGGCAACACGTGCTGGTCAGGACGGACAGTACGGCGGCGGCGGCGTATATCAACCGCATGGGGGGTATGCGCTCTCGCCGCATGTCTCAGCTCGCCCGCCGTCTGCTCCTCTGGAGTCACCCGCGGCTGAAATCGCTGCGCGCCATTCACGTCCCAGGCACGCTCAATCGTGCAGCCGATGCGCTCTCACGACAGCTGTTACGCCCTGGAGAATGGAGACTCCACCCCGAGTCTGTTCAGCTGATATGGGCGCGATTCGGGGAGGCCCAGATCGATCTGTTTGCTTCCCCCGAGAACGCTCACTGCCAGTTGTTTTTTTCCCTGACCGAGGGCTCTCTCGGCACGGATGCACTGGCCCACAGCTGGCCTCGGGGCATGCGCAAGTATGCGTTTCCCCCAGTGAGCCTGCTCGCGCAGTTTCTGTGCAAGGTCAGGGAGGACGAGGAACAGGTTCTGCTAGTTGCGCCCCTTTGGCCCAACCGGACCTGGATATCAGAGCTCTCACTCCTCGCGACGGCCCTCCCCTGGCGGATCCCTTTGAGAGAGGACCTACTCTCTCAGGGACAGGGCACCATCTGGCACCCTCGCCCCGATCTTTGGAACCTCCACGTGTGGTCCCTAGACGCGAGGAAGACTTAGGTAACCTACCGACTGCGGTGGTTAATACCATCACTCAGGCTAGAGCCCCCTCCACGAGGCGCGCCTACGCCCTGAAGTGGAGTCTATTCACTGAATGGTGCGTCTCTCGCAGAGAAGACCCCCGAAATTGCCAGATTAGTGTTGTGCTCTCTTTCCTTTAAGAGAAGTTGGACAGCAGGCTGTCGCCCTCCACTCTCAAGGTTTACGTGGCCGCCATCTCCGCTTATCATAGCGCGGTAGCTGGCGGCACCGTGGGAAAGCATAACCTGGTCATCCAGTTCCTTAGGGGTGCTAGGCGAATTAATCCATCTCGCCCCCCTCTCATGCCCTCTTGGGATCTCGCCCTCGTTCTCACGAGTCTGCGATCCGATCCCTTTGAGCCACTCGAATCAGTATCTCTAAGATTTCTGTCCCTGAAGACAGCTCTGCTGGTTGCGTTGGCCTCCATCAAGAGGGTCGGGGACCTGGAGGCATTTTCGGTCAGTGACTCGTGCCTGGAATTCGGGCCGGATTACTCTCACGTTATCCTGAGACCCCGCCCCGGTTATGTGCCCAAGGTTCCTACCACCCCCTTTAGAGATCAGGTAGTGAACCTGCAAGCGCTGCCCCCGGAGGAGGCAGACCCAGCCCTTTCTTTACTTTGTCCAGTTCGCGCTCTGCGCATTTATGTGGACCGTACTCAGAATTTTAGATCATCTGAGCAGCTCTTTGTCTGTTATGGCGGTCGGCAGCAGGGAAGTGCCGTATCGAAACAAAGATTATCCCACTGGATTGTGGATGCCATTTCACTCGCTTATTCGAGTCGAGGTCAGCCGTGTCCCCCGGGAGTACGTGCACACTCCACTCGGAGCGTTGCATCCTCTTGGGCGCATGCACGCGGCGCCTCTCTAACAGACATCTGTAGAGCTGCGGGCTGGGCGACACCCAACACATTTGCAAGGTTTTACAATCTGCGAGTGGAGCCGGTTTCCTCAAGGGTATTAGGTAACCCTTTGGTGATTGAGGAGACAACTCGGTAGGGTGTTGAAACACGCTTGCTGCGCCATTCTCCCTAACACGGAGGTACGTGCGCCTTTTTTATCTGTCAGTAAAGTTCCCCGTCAGGTGAGCCCTGCAGATTCCTCCGTGGCCCCCAGCACTGACTCAGCGGAGGAGTCACTTGCTGGCCCACTACGTTGTAGGTCTGCCCGCTGGTCAGCCCGCGTTTTGGGTATAGGTGCCTGCTATGCGTGATCCCCACTAGGCGATCCCATATGCTTATTCCGCCACGGTTAAGTCCCCCCCCTGGGCGGACCCGTGTCTTCCCTCTCCGCTAACCACTCTTTGCTATGCGTACTCCCCCTTTTTAGGGCTAGTCCATAGGTAAATTCTGCCATCTATCCCCCCCTTGGGTAACGGATGGCCTCCGCAGCGTCCTCCCTATCGGGATTGCACGCTTCCCAACGTACTGTCGTATTTCCTAGAATTATCTAGATGCTCACGACTTCCCAAAAAATATATCTAAATCCGTAAAACTTCTGTTGAAGTAGGATAAATTAGGGCCAGGGACACGTTGGAGGACCGCGCCCCCCATGATGTGGGTGCGTCACGCTTGCTTGACTATCTCCTCATCGGGGGTGTTGGTAAGGTGCAGTCATTATGGCGCTTTCCATATTCTCCCATTCATGGCACTGAAGTTCCCCAACCGAAGGGGAACGTTCGAGGTTACAGAAGTAACCCTTCGTTCCCCGAGGAGGGGAACGGAAGTGCCATATTCCGTCGCCATAATGACTGTCCCTTAGCTGTTTGAAAGTCTCTTCAGCTTAAAAGGATGGCGTCTGCTGGCTTCAGGTGTGCTTATATGCTGAGATGATTGCAGATGTCGCACACCTGCGCAAGCTTACGCTGCCAATTAATTTCATTCATTGGCCCGTTCAATACTCTCCAGATAAGCGGCTTCTGATCCGAATCCTCCCATTCATGGCACTTCCGTTCCCCTCCTCGGGGAACGAAGGGTTACTTCTTTAACCTCGAACGTTTGTTTACACTCTGCCTGTATTAACATAAATGCTGTATTTTAATATAGCTAATTTTGATTAGCTTTAACTGACAGCCTTTTCTTCTTTTTCCGCGGTTATGCGGCATTATATTTCACACGCATATGCAAGGTGACTGAATATGAAATTAAAATACAAAACTTACTGAGCCATTAAGTAAAAAAACAAAACAAAACAGTTATATTTTAAAGCAGAACATTGACGTTTTGAAACAAAAAAACGGAACTGAAACTAAATTATTAAAAATAAACCTGCCAGACTTAATTTATGTCCTATTTTCATTATTTATTTATTTTCATTATTCGTTTATTATTATGTACTGAAACATAAAATGAGATAGTAAAATATAATCAACAACGAAAATGTAAATAAAAACGTAAATTAAAAACATAAATGAAAATATCTTGTCTTAGTCCTATTAAAATAGCAAACTTCATCTCTCTATATTTAGACTAAAAGACTGCTTTATTTATTTATATATTTATATATTTATTTATTTATTTATTTATTTATTTATTTATTTATGTATTTATTTAAGAGATGACATCAGAATACAAATTCAAAATTCTGAAGATGAGTGTTAGATGTATGCTTGCACTCTCTTATGGTCCACATGCAAATAGATCATTTTCACTGGTATAATCAGGCATTTGTCATCATCAGATTTCAACTTGCATTATTTTCATCATTTAACAACAGTAGTTTATACTGCCACTGTGTAAGCGTTTAATCTTACGCATAATACTCACCGTGTGAATAGAGGCTAATCTAAAGAAAAAACTTTGAATTGTTATATTGCGATTCTCAATATAATAATGTATCGCTACACCCATATTAAATGTATTATTATATAAAAATAACTGCACAGATACAGGAACAATAAGAAAATATCTCTTCAGATCAACATTTAGAAGACAATTATATAGACAAACCTCTTTGAAGCTCACTCTGTTCAGAATTCAAAGATAATGGCTCATGAAGAGACTGAAAAACATAATCAAAACACAGAAATGAAAGTTAAAACAACTCAAGTGTGTGCTAAACAGACATTATTAAACATTATATTTAATACTACATACAGTTCAAAATATGCCAATTTTTTAAAATAAAATCCAATATACCCTACCTTTGCTTTTTCATGTTTGTTACAGGAGAGAAGGTCAACTCCTCCACATGACACACTCTAAAATTACAATTGTATGTTGTGATATCGTGCAGAACAATGTTTTAAAATTAAACACAAGGTACTTTTTTATACAAGATTAAAATTGTAACTCTGCCAAATAAAAACAGTTCTGTCAACACATGAACACTGACTCCACAGAGTATGCATCACAAACTTTTCAGGACAAACAGTGAAAACTGATACAGAAGAAACTAAATCATTGAAAAAATTCATTATGTTGGTTTAATAGTGCACAAAAAGTACACTGTACAGGAAACTGGCCCAAAACAATTATCTAATACTTTACTATTTGATAGTGTCAGGCCCGGATTAAGAACTCAAGAGGTCTGTATTAAAAAAAATAAGAATAGAATACATTTTTTTCAAAACGAATCTATAATATATTGCCCACATTTTTAAAATAAATTATATATATATATATATATATATATATATAATAAATTATATATATATATATATATAGTCTACAAAGATTTAACTTATTTTTTAAGCATTTAAAATTTATTAATAAAATTTGTGAAAATTGATAGTATAAGTACACTTGTTCAAGTTAACTGAAGCAGTACTAAAATATATATTTTAAAAGGTATTTATTACTATTCTCCACTGTGCTTTGCGAGAGCTCTTACTGAACAGCACATGTTCGATGACATAAGAGTGCCCAGGCACGAATGCAATGTGAGTGCAGGCCGTAGGGGGAAACGGAAGGGGGGGAAAGCATGCTTCAGCCTGGTTCATGGCAACTGTACAGTGCGAGTACGCCCTCAGACAAACGATGAATCCAGTCTGCACTGCCATTAGCATCCTCCGCCTGGTTAATGCTAGCTTGCACATAACATTACCATAACGTCTTCTATACCCTCATTCTCCTCATCATGGGTCTGTTCGAAGGAGTGAATACATGAAACATGCCTTAATAAAGATGCACCCTCTCCTCTTTTTCTCTTGTGATTGCCAAATCCACTTGTTCACTCATTTTGATCTACGGCAAATACTACACTACAGTCCGCTCAATTCAGTGCAGGTTATTTCAAAACTTACATGCACTTCACCAATTAGAGCATGCTATTTAGTTAAAAAAAGGAAAGAAGGAAAGGAAAAAATCTGCATGCTTTTTATACATGGTGACATTTTCTGACAATTTAAATACAATGATAATAATAATATATGATATTGACTATTTGCTAAGAGGAAATGCCTAGTTTTTAAAAAAATGTTTTTAAAGAGAGGGAGGCAACCTTTATTAAGGCATGTGCAACCTATTAAATGCTCTTCAACAGAGCCATGAGGTAGGAGAATATGGGTGAAGTAGCGCTAGTTGTGGCAAATGATAATCGACAGGCTAACCAGGGTTTGGGAAAGGGCGACTAATAGTGGTGTAACGGATCCAAAATCTGCAGTTCGGATCACTCTACGTTTTTTGAGTTATGGATCGGACCATTTTTTGGATCAGCAAAAAAGGGAGGAGACAATTTGCTTTCCATTTATACAAAAATGTTACTGCATAAAACATTGCTTTTAACAAACAGAATATAGCACCTGTAATTTTAATAAAAAAATAAAAATCAGGAAATAACCAGCTAAAACATATATTTATCTTCAATTAATGATTCAACAATTCACACATAAAACTTCATGTTTCATTATACTGTAGGTGTATTATATTTGAAAACCTATTCAATGACATAATTTTGATGTTTGTTTGTCGCCATCTGTTGGTTACACAATGTAGTTGCTTTCACCAGCATCTTGTTTCATTAAACAGTGATTTTATTCTTACCATAATGAATGCATTAATGCAGGCTAAACAAACAGTGACAAAAAACACCTTAATAGCCAAAAGCATTTAGGTAGGTCCCACAACGTCATCATTATATTTTACAGGGAAGCCAAAATGCTTTCATTCATGCAATTTGAATGACACGGGAGACGATCTCTCTGCGATTGTTATAAATGTTGGATTAACCTACAAGTTCAAAAAAAGTTATTAATCTTCGAGTCACGCGCATTCCGAACCGTGGGTTGTGATCCGTATCGATCACGGATCAACAGTGATCCGTTACACCCCTAGTGACTAACATCACAAATAAATAAATACAAATGAATTCTATTAAGATGTTGCTAACATTTGAAAATAACTTTATTATATATTTAAAATAACTATTTAGAGAAATAAGATAAACATCATCAAAACACACGAGGCACTTGTGACTTTGTTTAACATTTGCATTATTTTAATTTTTTTTTAAATGTTTCCTACCTATTAAAAATATATGTATTTCCCATCGGATATGCAATGGGGAGAAAAAAAATAAGAATAAGTTCAGCAGACAGTATATTAGAACTCGAGTTGATGATCAATCGCGTCAAAACATGTTGCTATGTGCATTACAAGTTACACCACTGGCGCTATTTAGTTATGTTGTATCTGTCGGTCAGACATCACTTGTCTAACAAAATTTGTGTAAATGGCTTATTCCATCAATGTGTGTTATTAACCATTGGTTAATCAGGCCCTGGATAGTGTAAAATCTTTAATAGTTTTAACTTTTCACTAATATGGAAATCATTAATATTAGCATTTTTTAGACTCTTAAATTAAACATTAACATTTAAAAGTGTGGTTTTCAATTAGGACATTTCTTTTATTATTATTATTATTATTTAAATGTTATTTGTTGACATTTATAATGTCATGTCATCAAATCATCATTAATGACTTAATTTTTTTGTGTTAAATTAAACTCCTTTTTGCATCTAAACATTTTATACACTATGCTTATAATGAAACATTAACTGGGGGTTACCTGCAGTAAGAAAAAACATGTACAAAACTTTGGTACCTTTGATGTCACTGATGTACCTCCACGTAAGCATGTCTTTATCCTTCCCCAACCTCACATGATGAGAAGCATCTTTCAAATGATTTAATCCTCTGCTTTGACTCTTACCACCATTCATTCACTGTTAAAATATTATATAAGGTTAAACTTCACAGTTTATAATATCAATACAATACCACATATGCAAAGCAGTATTAATATATGTGACGTAGTGTAAAATTCTCTAAAGAAGACCAAAACAGAACAAAATAGTAATATAATTATCAAATTTCATAATACAGTTATCACATTTTAAACCATTTAACAAAATATAAGTTAGTAGTGCACTATTTTGACAATTTGATCAAATAAAGTTATTTAACTAGGGTTAGTTAACCTCTTTTCATAATAAAAGTTCATTTATTCAAATGTACAGTTTAACTGAACACAAGTTTATCACAAAAAAACATTAGAAAAAATAAAACCACACATTTACATTACTAAATTCAAACATTTTGTTCAATCATGCTTAATAATTCAAGTTTAGTAAATTGTTTCTACTTCATATTTATGTTTAATATACCTTGTTACCATGTTATTTATACCATATTCGAATGGTCATTGCTTCATAACGTTACATCTCATGGAATCAGACGGCGAATTGTTTACCGCGGAGGAGTGAGCTCTGCCCGGTTCTGGGTTAAATCGACACCGGCGCTTCCGAGCCAGATACAGGCCGAGCGCGTGCTATTATTAGCAAATACACATTTTGAAGAACTAACTTAGGTCTGATACTGCCATTACAAACACATATTTCTAACGTTTATTTGTTCTCATCTTCTGTTCCCAGTCACTAATTATTATTGTCTAAAACAGTACGCGCCGCATATAAATATATAAATAAACTTGCTATTTTTAATAACAAGTGGAATAATACAGTACATATAATAATAAATAATGTACAAAGTATTAAAAACAAATGACTTACTTGTTTGATGTGAGTTTCGCTGCTTGAAGCGCGACTGTCACGTCCACAGTCTTCATGAGGGACGTTTTCCCGCGATTGAATTTATGGCGCGAAATTGTGTAAGATTTGGCGCGAGTGTGTATAGAAGTGCAGTACCAAGTTCCGCCTACAGAGGCGCTGTTCAAAGATCACACATACACATCATGGTTTACAAGACCATATTTGTAAAGGTCATAAAAAGCACACCAAGTGTAATAATAACCAAATAACAATGTGAACTTTTGAAACAAGTCTTATAATTATCATTTAGGTCATTGTAATGAATAATCATCATTTAAACCATTTTTAATATCAACTTAAATTTTTAGTTTATGAGACCACCAAAAATGGTCTCATAAACAAAATGGTCTCATAATGCTGGTGGGTAAACCTGAAAATTGGTTCCATAAACCACATATGCCAACACACACGCACACACACACACACACACACACACACACACACACACACACACACACACACACACAAAATACTGTGACGCAAACAGCACAGCATCATGATTTTAACATTCTACATGCGTATCACACACACACACACACACACACACACACACACACACACACACTTCTATAGGACATTCCTTTCTTCACTCCAGCAGAATCTCTGTCAGACATGCTGTCACATCCCTTTCACCTGATAAAGATTTTTTTTTTCCTTCTGATAAAGATCTCTGTCAGACACACACATATTCAAGTCCACACATACACATGGTGATGGTAAAAAAATCCTTTAAACTGACTTAATGGTACATATTCCGCCAACTGCTGGATTGGAAGTATGGGGCACAACCTAAAGAAGGCTGGTCTATTACAGACTAGTTAGGACAGCGAAAGCTTACCAGGTTAAGTTGAATTAACACATTTGTTGTTTCAACTTACAAAACTATGTTGAGAAAATGAAAATGCAGAATATATTTTACAGTGTAGATAAAAGCGTAATATGCGCTGCTGATAAAGAATTACATTTTTGTTAAACTTTCCCTTTTAAATGTATTAAACACAATGTACAGTATACTCTAAAGCAGTGGTTCTCAAACTGTGGTACGTGTACCACTAGTGGTACGCGGGGTTCCTTCTAGTGGTACGCAGAGATATCAAATGTGTCATATATACATGCTACATATATTTCAAATATTATCAAAAATGATTTATATATAAACATAACATATAATACTATTTATTATATGACATAAAGCCTATTTCTGAGGTCCAAGCAACATTTCCAGGTGTTAATGAATTGGCTACTACATGTTAATACCATAGACTGTAAAATATATGGACGTAGTATCCGTGACGTCACCCATAGGTTTCTGAAGAGCGCAAAAGAAGCCACAAGTAGGCGCGGCCAACCGTCGCCATTTTGGTCACGCATCATCACACTCACGGCGGGATACCAAACAAGGGCAAAGAGGCGGAGAGTGAGCGGAGCTACAGACACCTGCTAGCATTTAGCTTGGACCTGGTTCAGACACTCTTTACTTTGGGAGAAATGCTTAATACTTTATCACCTGTGACTCGTTTGTATTCTGACCACTTGTGCTTGGTTGTACACTATATCAATAAAGTGTTTAGACTTTTAAAAACACTGCTGTAATACATTGAGCCACTAAACATTGTTCTTATGAGGTTTTTAAACAGGAGGAAAACGCGAATTAATTACAAACACTTCAGATATAGTCTGTGTTAGTTAATGTAAGACTATTGATGAAATCCAGCATAACACTGTATGACAACGCTTCAGATGACTGTTCTAGAGCCTACAGCTAATCAATCTGACAGATTTTGGAGTGCATTACAGCTCTAAATATAAATATAAACGATAAATGATCTTAAATAAAACAAATACATGTACAGAGATGGTATATAAGTATATAACTTTACTCACATGGGAAACGGAGGCAACGTGAATGGTTTGTGAGCACAATTAAGTGCATTCAGCATGCCATGCCCTCTAATAATTGTAGGAAACAAGTCCAAAAGGCAGTTGACTGTGTAAAGCCACATAAAACAACACAGAAATACGATAAATATGCCGAGTTCAGTGGCTAATCTGCAGAGGTGACGTGCGGCGACCAGCGAGACCTAACTGTCACTCAAGTGGCCACTCCCTTAATTATGCAAACTTAATATAACTTAATATAAAGGAAACGGATGAGTTATAAAAAAATTCACCCCCCTCACAGTTGTCATGAAGGGTAATATTACCTGTATTAACCAAAATCTTTTTTTGTACCAGGCTGTAAACACCTTTTTTTCTGCTGTAAAGTTGGCCATTCTAACAGTGGGCTCAATTAAAATTTGCTCTGTTTTGGAGCCAGGAGCGGCCAGGACTAGCGGAATTTCAGATGAATTGCAGTTTTAGTTACTTCCGTATTGGCTTCCTGAGGGAGAGCGGGAGGTTGCCGCTTGGTTAATACTTTACATTTAAGTACCGCACTTTTTTTTACTTTTTAATAACATTAACCTACCATTTTGAACTTTTAAAAGCCCATTTTAATTTAAATGTTGACGTTTTTAGTTTTTATTTATTAGATAGTTTTTCTTTACAAATAAGCACTGTACAGTGTTAAAGCTCAGACTATTTATAATGTTTTAAATGGCTGATAATAATAAATATTTGTAATTATAGAAATTAATCAGCCACATTTTAGAACTGTGCAGAACTGTAGCTGCTTTACTGGGCTTACTACACTACTGTATTGTAATACTGCTCATTATGGTGGTACTTTTAGAGACAACCACTGCTTTAAAATATTCAATATTAAAATGAGTTATTACTTAATACATTCATTAAATCCAAGCTTTATCATTTTGCATCCAGGCAAATCGTTGGATACGGTCTAAAGAGACAAAGAATGGTCTAAAGGTGATCAAGCTTACTGATGCAGGCTTTCTCCGAACACTAGAGAATGCCATCCGACTGGGCATGCCTGTTCTTCTAGAGGAGGTAATCTTTGTTTGTCTTTCAATGTTGACAGTTTGTAGTTAAATTTAAATACAAATGCACTGCTGAAGAAAAGTAATTATATATTTTAAATAATGAATTAGAGTTAGTAACCAATAACACTGCCAAACTGATTTGATTAGCTTTGAATAGTGTAATTCAGTCTTAAATGAGTGATTCTGTTGTGAGTTTATTAGTTCTGACTCTTGCCAGATGTGATTTTCTGATGAATCTAGTTTCAGTCATGTTTGTTTTCACTGCTGACAACTGAGGCGTATAGATTTCCCCTAGCTTCTATTTTTAAATTTATTTTAAGAAGAGACTTTGCAGCTGTTGCATAAATAGATTTAACATAAACATGAAACTGAATGCTGAATGATATTTGTCATGACTGCAATATTTCTCTGTGTGTACAGCTAAAAGAAACTCTGGACCCTGCTCTGGAGCCCATTCTTCTGAAGCAGACGTTTGTGTCAGGTGGCAGAACATTGATCCGACTTGGAGACTCTGACATCGACTATGATAAAAACTTCCGTTTTTACATGACCACCAAAATGGCCAATCCCCACTACCTTCCTGAGGTTTGTGAGCGAATCGGAGCAAATGATAGACATAACAAGAAATAAATGACATCAAATTCAACAAAATTTTATTCAATTACATTATATGTAAAACAATTAACTTTTTCAATACACTTAAAATGTAGGGCCTGTTTACTTTTCTGATTTTGTGCGATGGTCATTCATTCATTTGGCTTAGTCCCTTATTTATATAAGGGGTCGCGACAGCTGAATGAACCACCAACTATTCCAGCATATGTTTTACGTAACAGATGCTCTTCCAGCTGCGACCCAGTACTGGGAAACACCCATACAATTATTCCCACACATACACTACAGCCAACTTAGTTTATTCAATTTACCTATACCGCATATCTTTAGACTATAGGGGAAACCGGAACACCCGGAGGAAACCCACGCCAAGATAAGGAGAATAAGTAAACTCTACACAAAAAAGCCAACTGGTCCAGCCAGGACTCGAACTAGCGACCTTCTTGCTGTGAGGTGACAGTGCTAAGCACTGAGCCATAATGTTGACCTTTTGTGCTATTATCTATCCGAAATATCAAAACCATTTACACTAAAAGAAAAATATAAATCCAACCTTCTAGTTTTCATATGCAAATTCAATTAAAACTCTCTGAGAGGGTTAGTAAAGTATAGGAATATCTTTTTTTTTTTTACTTTAAATTACAAACAGGTATTTTCAACTTGCGCTCTTAAACATATAACATTATATCCAAAAAAATAACATAAATAAACCTTAAATAATATAAAAGAAAATACATTACATTCAAGGGGGTCAGTCTATATAAGTTGACAAAAGCTTAGAGAGCTTTAAGGCACCTTTTGTTTTTGCCTGTTTTATAGATTTATATAAAATGTTGAAATGAATATCTATTTGATAATGTTGATGTGCTTGTTCTTTTTTTGCACTATAAGCCATCGAGTCACATTTTTACTGTCCATGTATGCCTGGGCTACCTTGCTTAACACTAAGGATGTGTGTCCACCAAAGCATTTTACCAAATGGCTTAATGCTAATGTGCAGTACTACACTATGTGAGACTTAGCTACTTTGCCAACCAGCTTAAAGTACAAATAAAATGAAAGCTAACCACATGATTTTGTTAGCTCACTTTTCTAGTCTTGTGGTGAACAATTCATATATACATGTCACTGAGGAAAAAAAAAGTTTGCCCTTGTAATATGAAATTAAAAATCAATGTAATATACTTAACAATGCGTCACAATATAAAAAAAAAAATGGTTCATGCAGACTTTAACTCTAGAGAACTAGACTACTGTACGTGTGCCTGGGCCACCTGTGTCTTAAATAAATCTATTATATTATATTAGTCATTCATTCATTTTCTTTTCGGCTTGGTCCCTTTAATCAAGGGTCGACACAGTGGAATGAACCGCCAACTTATCCAGCATAGGTTTTTACCTAGTGGATGCCATTCCAGCCGCAACCCAACACTGGGAAACACACATACTGTACACTTTTGCATTTACACACATACACTACAGACAATTTAGTTTATTCAATTCACCTACAGTGCATGTCTTTGGACTATAGAGTAAACCGGAGCACCCGGAGGAACCCCACGCCAACATGGGAAGAACATGCAAACTCCACACAGAAATGCCAACTGACCCAGTCAGAACTTATACCAGCAACCTTCTTGCTGTGAGGCAATCGTGCTACCCACTGCACCACCGTGATGCCTATATTCTATTCTATTCTATTCTATTCTATTCTATTCTATTCTATTCTATTCTATTCTATTCTATTCTATTCTATTCTATTCTATTCTATTATATTCTT